CTGACCCAAGGATGAAGCATCACGGCCCTTGTTGTGCCTCTGCAGCAGCGGCCGATGTTCACAGGCATCCTTGGATCCCTTGAAGGCGTCGCTGTTGTACTGGGACCAATCATTGGCGGCGCGATTGCCAGTCACATTGGATGGAGATGGTGCTTCTGGGTAAATCTCCCTATTGGGGGCGTGCTGTTCATCGTCCTTGTCGTTCTGTTCAAGCCGCCGCAAACCCCAGGCCAGCAGGCGCCATTGAAAGACAGAATGAAGGGGGTCGACTTCATCGGCGGGACGGGCTTAGTGGGAAGTATCACCTGCCTCCTTCTCGCGCTTGAATGGGGATCAACGCTGTACAATTGGAGCGACGCCAGACTGATCGGGCTCCTTGTGGTGTTTGGGGTCTCGTTCATATCGGTTGCTGTTCACCAGCACTGGCTGAAGGAAAAAGCCACGTTCCCGACGCGACTGTTGAGAAACAGGTCCTTCGCTTCATCTCTGTGGTACGGATTTGCGTTATCTAGTGCGCAAATGGTTGTTCTCTACTATGTGAGTTACATCCCAACAGCAGCAGCATCACCTTTGCGTTCGTGCGTTCTTACGTGGTCGCTGCAGATTCCAGTATGGTTCCAGGCCATCCAGGGCGTTTCTGCCCGCGAGTCGGGTGTCCGACTGTTGCCGATGGTCCTCGCCCTAATTTTCTCCGGCGTGTCTGCGGGGATTGGGGCGTCCATTATTGGATACCTTCCGCCATTCATGATCGCTGGAACAATATTTGCTTCCATTGGAGCCGGCATGCTTTACACCTTCCAGCCCGATATTGAGAGTGCTAAATGGATCGGCTACCAGATCTTGTTTGGTCTCGGCACCGGCGCCGGGGTCCAGCAGTCCATTGTTGGGGTTCAGGTCGCCCTCGACCCCTCCGACGTCCCCTACGGCACGTCTGCCATCATCTTAGTGAACACTGTTGGGGGCTCCATCTTCATCAGTGTGGCCCAGAACATCTTCATCACCAGGATTGAACGTCTCACGCAGCTGATCCCATCCGTGGATCGTGACACGCTCTTGAATCGTTTCGGGTTCCTTAGAGAGTCGCTCACACCAGAGCAGCTCACAATTGCGCTTCGAGAGTACAACAGCGGCATCAAAAACATATTCTTGCTAGTCATCATTTTAGCCTGTCTTAGCACCTTTGGGTGGGTTCTCATCAAGTGGATTCCACTAAGACCACCAAAACCAGCGCCGAGTTCAACTGAAGAAAACTCATCAAATGAGGGGGCGAAAACAACAACAGAAGTCATTTCTCAGCCAGCATCATGAGGAGCATCTTTTTCAAACCGAAGACAGCGTATATAATATGTAATATGTATCAAAGACTTTGAATGCAATATCAAGCACAATACAACATCAAGAAGATGTTCATGCTCACTGTTGTCTACTATGTACACCGACTTCACAGCACTACGACTACCGACGACCTTAGGCTTCGTACTGACTCGAGGTGTGCTGTGCCCCGCGGACCGCGGTTCGAATGGTGGTGCCTGGCCTGGAACAGTCTGCCTGTGGCTGGGGAATGACATCACTTAAACCCCAACGAAAACGGGTTTCTCAGCTGGGCATTTTGCAGCCTATCGGAGCACTCAATCGAGTGGAATCTCCGGTCCACCAGGCTATTGAATTTCACTAAGACTAGATTCCACTTGCCTTTGCTTTATCGACATTACATTGGTCCAACCTCTGCTAAGCGAGCCTCTCCTCTAACATTGACGAACCAGATTGTTTCAACAGGGATACTATGGAATCCCACTTTCATGAGACTCAACGGCTCGCCCGGGGCATCGTATTTGGGAAATCCCCCTGACCGCCTTTTCCCCTGAAGAGCTGACTCATCGTGCCACGTGTAGAGGGGTTCTGAGGCTTCCACCGGCGGTGAGTTTGCGCCTGACTTGACCGAGGCATGTCCCGTCATTCCATTGCAAACCTTCACTGAGCGTCAATTGGTCGTTGCCTCATCAACCTCCCGGTCGAGGAAAGAGCACAATGTTGCGCAAACGGGCGACAGAGGCTCTGCCTTGGTCGTCTTCTCAACCCGTAGGACTCGGGGCGACGTTGCGCGCGAGGGCCATCGAGGCCTTCAAGGCCGCGAAGCCGGTGCTCCTGCGGGCCCTTGAACAGGCCCAGCGCTGGGCTGCAAAGAACAAGGGCAAGGCGTGCCTTGCCGCCCTTGCAGCAGCTGCCTTCTGTCTCAACTTCAAAAGATTGCCCTTCGTCTGGCACGTAAGTCATCTCAGCGGCAGATCATTCCCCTCATCGAAATAGCGCATCAGTCTGACATGGTCATAGTTGCGTGTCTTCTACAACATTTGGTTCCCGAGAAAGCGTTACTTTGACTCCCGGCCAGGCTCCATTTTCAGGCCGGTTGTCACTCCTTCTCGTGTGGCCCTGCTTGAGACCGACTACAACTTGCACAAGTCCAACAGCACCTACTTCTCTGACCTTGATGTTGCCAGAACGGATCTCCTTGCCGCCCTGCGGTCTCAGGCTATCCGCGGCGGACTGTACAAGGAGTACAAGGAGGGCGTCCAAGTGCTTCTCGCCGGCACCTCTTGCAACTTCAAGAAGGAAATCAAGATCGGTGTAGCTTTCGACATGCACAGCAGAATTCTCTCCTGGGACCGCAAGTGGATTTACGTCATTACTCACTTTGCCGAGAAGCGAAAGAAGTCAGTGAACGGCAAGGCCCCTTCTCGTTCGCCCAGCGTCTATGCGACAGCGATCTCGAAGTGTGTCGTCAAGGCCGGCCGCCTGACGGTGCCGCCAGAGAAGTTCTTCCAGGCAGCGGGAGTACTCCGCACTGAGGTCCCCAACTTGAACTGGGTCGACGGAAACACTTCCTCCGAGTCATTGAGCAAGTCCAAGAAGGAAAAGAAATCAAAAGACAAGGACTCTAAGAAGAGGGACAAGGGAGAGAAGTCCTCCAGGAGACACGGAGATTCCACCTCGTCACTGCCTACGGTCCCGGCCCCGCCCCCGCCGGTGGCCGGCGGCGGATGGACATGGGAACGTGTGGAGGAGGAGCGCGCCCGGGCCTTGAAGGTCGCCGAGGGCTTCGCGAACGGATTGGATGCAGCTCACGAAGAATTCCGCATTTTGGGATGAAGATACAGAGAATACAATGAGTAAACGTACACGCGATAGATGAAGACCAATAGATGAACACAGAAACATGATGAGGCTCCGAGGCTGTAACCAAGTGACATGGGACGGAACAGATGAGACGCTGACGTGATAAGTGGCTTGATACACCAAAACTCTCTCTTCTGCGGCGCAGCAGCGGGTTCTTGGCTCACGTGCCCGTCTCTTCCCCCGCCCTGATCCTTCCAATCCTCTTACACGGAAATGCAGCTTGATTTCAGCGCAGCTTGCTTTTCTTTCCTCCTATCTCATCCGCGCCAGCTTGAACCTAGTTCCATATCCAAGTTCCCCAGCCTTGTTCATTTAATCTCCGAGAAAAGTCGTCCATCACAGTTGTATCATGACGAACACCGTCTACGTGATCACCGGCACCAACAAGGGCATCGGCCTGGGCATGGTGAAGGCCCTGATCGCTCGTCCTTCCACAACCGTCGTCGCTTCAGTGCGCAGTGAAGCTGCCGCCGCCTCTCTGAGATCGGGCGTTGCCGAAGTCACCAAAGGCTCTGGTAGCGAGTTGCATGTCATGCTGCTCGACCTCTCCTCGGCGCCGTCTCCTGCCGCTGTGCGTGAAGCTTTCACAGTAGCTACCGCTGGCACCGTGGATCGCATCGACATTTTGGTCAGCAACGCAGCTGCTCCTTTCCCCATGCTTCCTATATCTACAACCCCAGCCGAGGACTTCCGCAAAGCATTCGAGATCAACACTATCGCTCCGTTGATGGTGTTCCAAGGTCTCTGGCCACTGATGGACAAGCCCCGCACCGAGACCGATGTCCCCGCCAAGTTCATCGGTGTCACCTCCTCTGTTGGATCCATTGAAACGCAAGAGCCGGTCCCCGGGGGTGCTTATGGCCCCAGCAAAGCAGCTTTGAATCACATCACCAAGTCGCTGCACGCCCAACACAAGAATCTGGTCGCTGTCGCCCTTCATCCTGGGTGGGTCCAGACAGACATGGGCAATTATGCAGCGAACGCATGGAATTACGCTGCCGGACCCCCGGACACAATCGACAGCAGTGTCAGTGGCTGTCTCCAAGTCATTGACGGAGCGAGCCGAGAAACTACGTCGGGGAAGTTCGTCACCCAGACTGGCCAGGTTGTCCCTTGGTAGACATAAATCATTAAATATTACTTCTTTGCCCTGTTCTACCACAGTAGCCATCATTGTCTTATCCATACTTATCATCAATGAGAAGAACTTTGAGCTAAAATAATTCCATTCTGGACGCCTACTTCTCACGTCTACCTTGAATCCACTTCATCTTGCACATACTCAATGCTGAGTACTATCTGCTAAGGCGGATGATCATGAAGCGTTCATTTACACATTTTCAAAGCGAAATACCTCAACCTCGATGTGAATCTCCAGAATTGCCGACAGAGCAACTCTTCGATTCGTCCCTACCGAATAATGGTTGGCGAAATCACTCGGGGCCGAAGACGGAGCCGATGAGGGCCCATGCGCTGCACCTATTCCATGATGATTCAAGACGACAACTACTGACTCAGGCTTACTCTATCTCACGTCATGGCCTTCAGAGGCCATTATACTCTCACTGATATCTCGTACACTGAGTCAGACGGAAATAGGGACGGGATTATGTGTCGACAGCTCACAATGTGATCATCTGTCGGAATACCCATTTGCTGCAATGCCTCGATCGGAGCATAGGCCCACGCCGGTTACCTTTCTCACTGAATGCCGAAAACTCGTGTAAGCCGAGCAACGGACACGCAGCCGACCACACCTCCGTTCCCAGACGCCGTACCTGTGGGTCTTATACCGTCTATTGTTCAACATCCCGAACACCGAAACCATGTCGGAGTTATTCCAGCTGACAGGGAAAAATATTATCATCACAGGAGCTGCTGGGTACGCCATGATCTATTCAAGAAAACAAGATTAGACTTCTGATATTAGATAGGAGTATTGGTACTCAAATAGCAATTCTGTTCGCCAAGTCTGGAGCGAACCTGTTGCTGTCCGATGTGTCAAACAAAGCCCTTGAAGACCTGCGGCAAAATGTGGAACGTCACGGACCGCATCCCGGACGAATTGACTACAAGACATGCGATGTGTCTAACGAAGATGACGTTGCGGCTCTGGTCCAGTACTTAGACCAACACGGCGGCGTCGATGTCATGCTCAATAATGCTGGCGTCTTCCCCCACGAAGATGGCGATGCGCTTGAAGTAACCCAAAAGGCTTGGGATCTCACGTATCAAGTCAATGTCAAGGGAACTTGGCACGGGTGCAAACACGCCGTCTTGAGCATGCGGAAGCACGGAAAGGCCCGGGGAAGTGTGATCAACACATCCTCGGTTGTTGGCTTGATTGGTTCTGCAACAGCCCAACTAGCCTATACCACCAGCAAGGGTGCCATTATTGCTATGACGCGAGAGCTCGCCATAGTACATGCAAGAGAAGGCATCAGGTTCAATACGTTGTGCCCGGGGCCGCTGAACACCCCTCTCATGCAAGACTACCTGGGTACGAATGTGGAGAGGAGAGCACGCAGGGAAGTTCACTTGCCCCAAGGAAGGTTTGGCGAACCTATCGAGCAAGCCTCTGCGGCGCTATTTCTTGCCAGCGATGCGAGCTCATTTGTTAATGCTCAAGAGCTTGTGGTAGATGGAGGGTTAACCAAGGTTTGACTCCACGCCCTCAAATTCATGACGGCGCCCCGAATACTGACGCAGAAGACAGGCATATGTAACCCCTGAAGGCTCGGCACACGAGAGTATCAAGAATTTTGCAACCAAGTAGAGATCCTGTAGTGGCTGACCGAGGCTAATACGTAGCGAGGGAGGGAACTCTTGAGATCTTTAATCTGGCCAGTAAACATTCTGATTCTGCGCAAAACTCCTACTTTCATGCTAGAATGCTGCCTATAATGCGCTCTGGTTGTAGTGCTAACACACACGACCATGTGATGCTACTTGCCCGCCATGCTTGTACAACTTTGTCCGTCGAAGATCGTGCTGAAGATAATACGAAACGTTTAGAAAAGAAAATCGCATTCGCATCTGTGAAAGAATTCAGCCCTGTTCTTGATAACGTTGCTCAGAGAAACGAGCTGCCGGGTTGAGCAGTGCTGCGGACTCTTGCGTCGCCTGGTAAGGCGGCAAAGTCTTCGTGTTGACAAGCCTCTCATGGAGTATCCCGCGGCTGAAGAAGCTATTTGCTTTTCTCCATCTATCATCCCTCCTTGCGGCGTAGTCCTCATAAGACTGCTTGTTAGTGGTCGCAAAGAGAAATTTTGGGTGAACCAGAATGGCTTGTGAACCCTTCTGTCCAAACCCGAAGGAGGTAATGGAGCAGGCGTTAATCTCTTCAGCGCGGGTAGTTATGTTTGGGAAATGAAGAAGATTGTACTGTCGAAGGTCGGTGTCGATGTTATCGGCATTCCGATTACCTGGGATCAAACCAGAGTCCATCATCTGTAGAGCCCCGTTCACCATCCAGGCACCCGCAGCTCCCTTCGAGTGGCCAGTCAGCCATTTCTGGCCTACGCAAGGAAGTAGATTTCCCTGTTGTCTCCCAAGGAATTCCATCTGCTTCTGAAGAACTGAAGACTCGTTGGTATCGTTCTTCACGGTCGAGGTCAAGTGCATCGACGCGACCGCCAAATCATCGATCCCGAGGCCCCAGGTTGCGAGGCTGCCTCGGATCGGTGCGATGTGCTGCTCATTCTTCCAAAACTGATTGCCCAGACTGAATCGCAAGTCCGCCTCTTGCTTCTTTGCATCTTCTTCAAAAGCAGCCATGTTGTCCTGTCGATAGCGCTCTTCGTCAAAGCCGTCGGTTCCCATTTCTTTGATGTAGTGTATTTCATGTTCCATGAGGTCCAAATTTGTCTGGTAGTTGTCGTTGACTTGTTGAATTCGCATATTGAGTAGCCTTCGACGATATCCTATATCAAGCAGGGGGTGTGGCGTGGCATATCTTCTCCCTGAGCTTGCTTCTCGGGCATTTGTTAAAACGCCTCCACCGGGTGCTGGGACGGAGCGACCGACTTTATCGGCAGCCATACTGGTAAAGGCTACCACTCCAAATATTGGGAGACCCATCTCCAGGGCAAGCTCGGCAGTCGTAAGGATCTGAATTCCACATCCTTGAGACTCGACAAATCCACTTCTGGTTGATGTTGTAGGTCGGGACATCTCAGCTGGACTCCTTCCAGCGGCAAATTCCTTGTCGGTGTCACAGGTAGCATTCATGCTGCCAAACTCGTAGGATACGTCTTCGACAAAGTCCTCGACGCCACCAACAAGGCAGACCTTGGCTTTGCCAGCGACAATGAGGTCGTATCCGGTATCAAGTGACTCCAGCGACGTAGCGCAGGCACCGACAGGTGTTTTAATCGGTCCAGTTGAAGACATCAGAAGCATGTTGATCCATGCCCCCGTTGTGTTGATGAAGGTCTCCTGGAGGATATCTCCCTGAACTGCTTTATCGAGGAACCGATCGCGGTGCATCTGTCTCAACGACGAAAGCCCACCCATGCTTGAACCAATACAATTGCCAACTTCGGAGAGATGGATATGCTTGTACAATTCGTACGGGTCGACAATCCCTGACACCAAGAGTGCTTCGACAGTGCAAACCAACGTGAAGAGTGTCACGGGGTCAACTTGCTCAACGATCTCGTCATCGATGCCGTATCGCTTTGCCGACCATCCAGTGGGAATCTGACCGGCCACCGTGCGATTGAATCGGCTTGCTCTGGGGAGGAGAACTTTTGCGCCGGCCTTGAGCTGAACCATGACAAGCCCAGACTCCATCTTGCTGATTACGGCCTTGTCACCGTGTTGAAGTTGGAAGTACCGTGCGACGTCAGAAGGTGTCTCAAAAGGGGGTAGGTTCTGGGTGAGTTCCATTTCCTGAACCGTCGTCTTCTTTTCCGGATCGTAGTTGTTATCGCAATTGTCTGGCTCAATCTTACGAATGCCGGTATGCTCGAGGATGGATCCCATGTATTGTGAGAAGATCTCACTCTCCTCTACCGGAACCGAGGTCTTTGCGTCTACCCAGCCAGTCCACGGGAGCCCGTCTTTCAGAACATCCTTGCTGTATTTGATGAGACCCATCATCCATGCCATCTCAATGCATCCTTCAAGGGACAGAGAACCCTCGGCTTCCATCTCCCATCGCGTCCTACTGCTGCCATAAGGCCCAAGCTCTGAGAAACCTGTAATGACAACTACTCGGCTCAGGTCGACCATACCCTCCAAGCCCTCTGCGAGAGATGCCAGTTCCCCGTCCCACTCAGTTAGTCGAGGTAACTGAAGACGTAGATTCGCTCTCCGCGGCAAAGCTTGGGGAGTAAGGAACGACGTTTTTCGACCAGTAATTGCTGCTTCTCTCTGCTGCTCCTCCATGATAGCTCGTTGAATGTCTGCCTCGGCGCGAAGATCTTGGCGAATTTTCGTAAGCTTGTCCTTCAGTTCCATGACCTTGCCCATTCCGCCGCTGAGATCGACGACAATTGGGATAGACTGGCAAGCAACGTTCATTCTGCCGCCCAAGAGGGACGCAATGAATGCAGCCATTTGGTCTTTGGAGAATGTTCGAACTCCCATACCCTCGACTCCCTGAGCAACCATATCATTGTCGTCCATGAGGCCTGTTCCTCGAGTCCAGCCAATGACAACCCCAAGCATAGAGAGATAGTCACGCCAGGTTTCAGACTTCCATTTCGAGAGTAGAGATTCCAAGCCCCTCTTGGACTCTGCATAAAGACCATCGTTACCCATGAGTCCGTGATTGGGAGATAGGGGGAGTACGACTGTGGCAGGTCTGGTAATGATTCCCCTGGAACGCTTGTTCTTGGAAATGGCACCAAGTAACCGGAGGAGATTTGTGAGCATCAGCCGGTGGGCAATCTCCGACTTAGAATCCAACTCTTCAAGCTCTCGGCCGTTCTCAGATATTGCCGCAAATGGAATAATGAAATCAGGGTCCCAGTCATCTACCAAGTTCTTCGCAAGTTCCTGGATGTCTCGTTGACTACCTTGGTTGAATGGAAGAACCCTCAAAGCAGACCCCTTGGCTCCATGTCGAGAATAAAGGCTCTGGTACATTTGCGTGACTTCTGAGGAGTACTTGCTGGTAGTCACCGTGACTCTTCCACCGCCCTGTAGCAGGTACTTCAGAAGCCCAAAGCCGATGGAGTTCCGACCAGCACCTGTCAGCAGCACATTCCTACGACGAAACGTGAATCCAGAATGACGTGCTGTATCCAAGTCTTCCGCATATGCAGAGCTGAGCCTGTCAGACATAGTCAAGATGCCATGATCATAGGTGCCCACGGGATATGGCATTTGCGGGATTGACGACTTGCGAGCCTTGAAAGGGGCCGTTCGCGGTACTTCGGCAAATTTGATGTTACCGTCTTTGTCAATAGTTGTTGATGGCGCCAGGTCGATTGACCCATCAATAAATACCGGGTCCCGATTCTTCGAGGATATGCTTGCTTGCAGACAAAGCCTCATGATCCGGCCCAGGTTCGTCTTCTCGCCCATTGTTTTAGAGCAAAGATACTGGATCTGAGCGATAGAGCGCTCGCAAGATCGATTGATGATAGACGTTGAAAGTTCCTCGATTAACCCAGCGTTCTGCGAGCTCGGGTGCTTGGCAAGATCGAACAGTAGAGCAATGTCGCGAGAGGACCAGTTCCAAAAGGAGTCGTATAACCGCTGCTTCTTGATATCGAATATCGGCCTGATACCCTCAGCGTAATCTTCTCCATGCTCGCTGCGCCACAGGTCGAGTTCGTCAATATCCTTTTCAGATTCCGCCGCCATTGAGTCCGTCTTGGGACTCGTGTTTGCGGGAAGATGCCGAGACATAGCTTGACTGATATCTCGTAGCAAAGCGTTGCTTCTTTCGTTGATCACTTCCAGAGCTTTTGCGTCAACCTTTGCGTTTGTCCCTGCGCTGGATGAGCTGCTTCGGGGTAGTGACAATCCCTCCTGCTTGAAATATGCTCCTGCGCAGTCGTCGATAAAGCTCTCCGCAGCGTCTTCAGAAGGTAGGCGTGAGTCAAGCTGACTTGTGAGCGCAAGAAGCAAGACCGCATCCTGGCGCATCGGTCCTAGACCCCATCGCTGCTGGAGATGCTCCCGCACTTTTGACTGGTTGAAGCTGCCTGGTAACTTAGAGGAGACAAAGCTTGCAACGAGTGATGACGTCTTCTTCCCAAGTGTCCCAGTGTGGACCTTGCTAATTGTCTCAAATAGCTCGCTGAGTCGCTGCTCCTCCGCACGATCGGGCAGTTGGTTTGCACACTCGACGTGAAGATCGCCAACAATTTCATTGGTGAGCGTTGAGCGTCCTTCTCTTATTAGTGCCTTAGGAAGATGATGGACGAAACATATTGACTCACCACTTACGAGCTGGTTGATTGACTTTGTGGTGTCAATATCTTTGGGTGCTTTCTTTAGTTTTGTGGCTATGATTGCGAGCAGCACTGCTGAGACCGGAACACTCGCTTCTTCTAAATCCATCACCGGCGCTGTTGGCTCATCATTGTCATTTATGGTCGACAACGATGCTGACTCGGTAGAACCAAACTCATTCACATCGCTATGGGGTGGTGTCTGGGTACTCGCTACCGGCGAGTTCTCAGTCCTTTCCTCAGAACTCGTTTCCTCAACGTGAGACTGATAATAAATCTCTGGCAGGTCTGCATCGGGCCCAAGTATCCGCCGGCGAAGGCCTTGGACATCGTCTGAGATTGTGTATCGCCCATTCCAAGTTCTTCTCATCATATTGGTGAGAATATTCGTCGGCCCGACCTCCACAATCCTCTCCGCTTTAATCTCTCCGAGAATGGCATCTTGTGTTTCGATCCTATAGATAACATAAGCTCAAGATGATCATTATTGACTGACGTCACTCATGCCAGCATACCATCGCACGGGATACGCAAACTGATGCCTATTTGCGAGGTCAGTTTAACCTTCATATCCAGTGATTTAGGGTCAAGCTGCATACGCTAGTAACTCCACGAGCAGAATATACGCCAACTCCCGCTCTGCTTCTGGATGCATGGCGGTCGCTCTTCGGGATTCAACTTCAACCCGAACCGTAGGGTTTGCGATTTGTGGATCTGGAACTTTCCTGCAAGCGAGAACGATGGTTTCGAAGGCATCGCAACTCTGGCAACCTAATTCGTGACGAATTCAGGATCAGATGCCCATGTCCGCCCTCGCGAACAACCTCGGATGTGGTCGTGCAGGGGTGTTGATTATTGCTCCGGAACCTTAAAGGTGACATCAGCACCTGGTATCCGTCTTACTCAACGCCGAGGGCAGGCTTATGAGTCAGGGAAAGACCGCGTTTGATGCATGCGGAAGTCCGCCCGGAAAACTCGTGGATACCCAGCAGCAATCGTTCGTGCGAAGAATCTGGCAGTAGTTCCTCAGGACCGAGCGAACAATGGACGATCTGAGCAAGGTTCTTGGTGCCAGCCTGTCGGTGTCGAAAAGCACCTCGACGGCTGGTTTTGTTGTTTTGCTGGTAAGTTTTCATCCCATGTGCCGACCTCATTCCTACAGTTCATCGGAAATGTTCTCGTGTCTCACATCTAACAACATCTTGAGATTACTGTAATTGCTTTCGTTTTCAAGCGCCTCGTTCTGCATCCGTTGAGCTCCCATCCAGGCCCACTGATTGGACGTTTGACGAGTCTTTACAATACGTATCATGCTCTGAAGAAGGACCAAGCTCGCAACTTGCATCAACTGCATGAGAAATATGGCCCAATTGTTCGCTATGGACCCAACCATGTCAGCATCAGATCTGCCGAGGGGGTGAAAATGCTGTACACCAACAGTCGCTACACTCGAAAAGCGGACAACTATCTGGCGTTTCCCAGAAATCCAGAGAAAGCCAGTCTGTTCTCTTCCATCAACAAGCAAGTACATGCAAGGAAGCGGCGGATTCTTCGACAGGGCTTCTCAGACTCGGCGCTCAAAACCGCAGGTGTCACCATCAAGAAACATGTTGCGACTCTTTGCCAGTGTTTAGAGTTCCTGGACAACGATACCCAAGAAGGGTATGTATTGTCAGGAAGGGAGCCTTCGAACTCAGAGCGGTGGAGCAAACCGAAAAACTTCTCGGAATGGATAAACCGCTTCACATTCGACGTCTCGAGTGACTTGTCATTCTCCAAATCTTTCGACATGATGCGGTACGCTGGAAACAGGCACATCATCAAGATTCTCCACGAGACATTGTGGGCAGACAACGTCGTAAGTAGAAATGCACAAGTGTTACAAGAACAGTGGCTAATGCATCAAACAGACTGGGTCTTCACTTACGCTCCTTCACACCCTGAGGCTCAAGTGGCTGCTGTTCTCTCACCACGTTCGGTCTACGGTGACATTCGATTCTTTCATTGAGAAGGCGGCGGATGAAAGAGTGAGCAAACTAAGTGATTCCAAAAAGGACTTCATGTTCTGGCTCACCGGTGCGGTCGATCCCGTTACGGGGGATACGTTCACGATGGAAGAGCTAGTCGAGGAGGCAATTCTGTTGATCACAGCAGGTAAGCAAAATGCGTCAATACGGTGCCATGGCCATTGTCTGACCCTAGTAGGGAGCGACACATCCTCAACTGCTATCAGCTCCACGATTTACTACTTGCTGCATAGCCCCGACAAGCTCGCAAGACTCCAGACGGAAGTTCGGAGTGTGTTTTCCAGTGTTGATCGAATTGAGTTTGGCACGGAATTACAGGCCTGCACTTACCTTCGGGCCTGCATCAATGAGGGCTTGAGACTGTCTCCCCCGGCGGGCTCAGTGCTTCACCGTCAAGTGGAACCGGGCGGTGTACATGTTGGGAACACCTTCTACCCCGAGGGTGTCAACATCGGAGTGCCGGTCTTCTCCATTCATCACGATAAGGAATATTTCCCCGACCCTTTCTTGTTCCAGCCGGAAAGGTGGATCGTTGGTGAGACACTTGCAGACGGCACCATCATCACCCCTGATTTTCTGAAGCATTCTTCCGCCGCTTTCATGGCATTCAGTGCCGGAACCCGCGGTTGCATCGGAAAGCCTCTCGCCTACCTCCAGATCTCAATCCTCTTTGCAACTCTGATGTTCAAGTATGACATGAGACTGTGCCAGCAATCATGGGTCAACGGAACCTGCAGCGGCCCAGGACCGGATCCGTCCAAGGAATACGAGCTGGTGGACATGTTTATCAGTTGGAAGAATGGCCCACTCATTGAAGTGAAGCCCAAGGCTTGAAAAGCAGATAAATCTTTTTACATTTGTTCTATCATTTTTAGAGTTTGTCTATTCGACACTAGATTCTAATCTTGGTCCGTTGTCGTGTCACCTCATATTTCACCCAGCGACAAAAATGATTTGGCAAGCATACCTTGATGATACCCTCTTGTGATCAACTCCATTGATTCGGAAGAACTGAAGCCGGATGTTCTATCTCTTTTACTGCAGCAGTCAAAGTCGCTATGTAGCTGCCTGTGTAGCTATCGCCATCTGCTTCACCTTGATTCATAGCCACTGGCCAATCACAAGCGGGTTCCATCGCCCACAGTCTTTGGCTCACTTTGACTAGAAACTTCGCAAAGCCAATTCATCTACCAATATTGCATATCATGTCATCGTCGTTCGCAATTTGCAATGCTCTCCCGCTTAGCCAGGGCGAAAGCCCATCTCACGTCATGCTCACCAAATTCATTTGTGGCCGGTGCGCCCCGGTAAGCGATGTGCTGTGCGACTAGCAACGGACCCCTGTCGATGAGCCGACGACCAAAGCAAGCAGCAGGAGGCTGGTTGCTTAACGGCGCGCAATGGCTCTTCCTGTTGACTTGCGCTGTTGACTTGTTGTGCCAGTTGGTTTTACAGGGTACATTCAGTCTCACAGCCGTTATGATCCCACCAAAACCGGATTACAGCAAGTGCCCAACCCCTGGAACAACACAAGGGCTCTTCCGAAGCTTGTGCTAGTGTCGCTAATGAGCAACCAGAGTGGGATGTGTATGACAGCAAACGGAACAATGGTCAGTTACCGCCTCGAAGTGGAACACCAAGACATATCCAGCTGATCTTTTTGTTAGTTGCTGGTCACGTAGAGTCTGTCTACGACGCAGCCACTGGCAAATGGACAACCCCGACGTTTGTTGAGAGCCCTTTTCTTTCAATACACGGCTTGGCTCCGGGGCTGCACTATGGTGTGTGTCCCCACCAGCTTGGATAGACACCCATGGATGCTAATTCGGTCGCAGGTCAGCAAGTCTTTGAAGGACTACAAGGTATCAAGCCATAGTGAGGATCGCTTGAAATAGTCATGCTAATCTTTTCGCCGAAATGCAGCTCGTAGGGACCCAGCAGGCGAGATCTCTATATTTCGTCCCGATGCCAACGCCGCTAGAATGAGAAGGTCCGCTGCCTTTGTCTCCATGCCAGAGGTACCAGAGGACGTCTTTCTTGAAGCCATTCACCTAGCCGTTAGGAAGAATGCAGAGTATGTTTGCCCCCATGATGTGAAGGGATCCCTGTACATCCGACCTTTCCAATTTGGTTCCAGCGCTCAGATTGGTCTGGACCCCCCCGAGGAGTTTCTGTTCTGTGTGTTTGTTCAGCCTCACATTGCTTTTCATGGTCACGGCGCCATCAAGGCTTTGGTACTTGATGACTTTGACCGCGCTGCCACAAGGGGGTCAGGTACAGTGAAAGTTGGTGGCAACTACGCTCCAGTGATGAGGTGGACTTCTGAGGCAAGAAAGGAGGGTTACAACGTCCTCTTGCATTTAGACAGTCAGACTCAGACTGAAATCGATGAGTTCTCTACGTCGGGGTTCATAGGTATTCGGAGAAATGGAGGCGAGACCAGCCTCGTCATTGCCGACAGCAAAGCTGCGATAGAGAGCATTACAGCGGATTCAGCAGCCAGAGTTGCTGAAAGCCTCGGCTGGAGGGTGGAAAAGAGAACCGTAAGCTTATGAGCATGACGTATGACATATAAGTCTTTGGTCAGTATTTGCTAACTTGCCTTAGGTAAGGTTTGATGAGCTTTCAAACTTCACGGAGGTACTTGCCGCGGGAACCGCGGCTGGGTTAGTCTCCGTATCCTGTGTTCATCGGAAGTCTACCAACGAAACTTTCAACTTTGATTCCGAAGGCCCAGCTTATGAGGAGTTATGGGGAGCACTGAAGAGCATCCAGAATGGCACAGCAGTGGATAGTTTTGGTTGGCGCCATATTCTCCAAGAGTAGTTCCATAGTATTATACTTTCAGCATTTCCTCATGTTAAATCCATCTTCTCAAAGCGCAAAGCTTGATTGCTCACATTGTGGTGGACGGTCTGCCATGATGGCCTTCATCACACCAAAATTATCCAGACCGTCACAATCTGGATATCTCTCGTGACTTTGTGAGGATTCGTATTGTACATTTGAACAATTTCCCTACCGCTGGGACACCTCAGTGCAGACCGACAGCCTCGGCTCGCCGGAACTGCACGAAGGGTCCATCCTTCATACTAGTGAAAGCCCAGAAGATCTGATACTCGTCCTTCAAATCACCCTTGCCTTCCCCGACTCTGCCCATCCCTGTCTCGTCTCGGCGGAAGTCAAACTCGCTGATGACTGCAGCCATCGCCAGCGAGATTTCAATCATGGCAAGACCCTTCCCAACGCAATTCCTTGGTCCAACAGAGAACGTCCCATACGCAGACTTCGCCTTCGAGACGGCTTCCTCTCCAACTACCTCCGGTATCCACCTCTCGGGCCAGAACTTAAACGGTTGAGGATAGTATTCTTTATGATGGTTGATAGAGTAGATACCAGTTCCGATGTCGTACCCAGCTGGGACGTAAAGGTCACCGACTTGAAGACCGCCATCTTGCACTTCACGCCACATCGCCCCGGCGGCTGGAGGTGACAAACGGGCAGCTTCAGTTATGCAGGCTCTCAAGTACGTGCAAGCAGACAGCTTGGGCCCTTGAGAAACCTCCTTTGCGGATCGGAAAGTGCTCCGGACCTCCTTGACAACCTTTTCATATGCCTCGGGATATCTAGATAGGTAGAAGAATAGAGCAGCCATTGCGGTTGAGGAGGTATCAGATCCTAGTAAACGCTGTCAGTGACACTGGCTGCCATGTTTCGTTATTCATCGCAGTTCTTACCGGCAATGATTAGTAAGTTGCTCTCGGCCCATAACTGCAACTGGGAAAGTGACTCTCCCGTTTCAGGGTCCTTGGCAGCCAGGAGCTTTGAGAATAGGTCATTCGTGATAGCCTCAGAAGACTCTTTTCGCTTTTCCATGATCTCTTTGCTTTTCATAGAAAACCGAAGCGCCTTCTTGCGTGCGTGGGGAAACAAGATCTTATGCAACCTCAAGTCTTCCAACTCGGGCAACTGCATCAGGAAACTCACCCGACGCATTTGACCCAGGATAGCATCCGCAACCCAGTGGTTTTCGGGGCTCTCTAAGAGATGATAAGACCTTCCAAAAACCAGCTGCGACGTCACATCAAATGTGAAATAGTCACCTGGGCGACATTAGTCCAAGTTGATTGTCCCCAGTAGCTAAGCGTCAACTCACACCAATGTGCCATGTTCTTAGCGCATGTCCATCCGTCAGTAGTCGCGTCCGTTTCAGGGACGAAGCGGTCCTTGCTTGATCCCAGACTTGAGGAAAACAAGCGGGCAAGGTCTGTCAATTCTTTGTCGAATGTTCGGATGTACGAATCCGACAGTCCTTGATTCAGGATTCTTCGAAGCTTGCCATGCTTGGTCTTGTCGACGACACTTTGGGTTGCTTCCACACCCTTAACCAGCGAGATGCGATGGTATGACTTGGCCTTCCGGACATTCTTGCCGTGCCCATAAATACCTACAAATCTGTCAGATAAATTTTATTCGATGCAACTCTCCGTGACAATTGTTCACCTTTCAATCCTGCCTCATTGTTGATCAATAGTCTGTTGGGACCATAGCGGACGACGTCCCCTGTTTTGGCGTGTTAGCGATATGGTACCACATTTTGTTTGCAGCCCAGCATATTGAACTTACCATACTTCTCATGGCACCGCCAGATATCAATGTGAAGATCACCAATATACGTGTGGTATACAGAATACCAACTGGTCAATTTCGCCAAGAAGGGCCCAGGATACTTGGCGTAGGGATGGAAGTAGAGGCGATAGACACAGAGAGCCACCTGGTTGTGATCTGTTAGTGCTCGACATCCGGCTCCAACCTTGAAATTGCGTACTTACAACCGCCAGGAAACCCGCCCCGGCAGACAGGGTGAGTATTTGGCCCAGCAATGCCAGGTATGAGTTTATCACGCTGAACATGGTTTCTGCCGTGTTTGGACGACCCTGAACGAGGATGCGAGCAGTAACGCATGCGATTTCAGTGCCAACAGCGCATTTGCTTCCCCGCCGGGTGTTTGTTAGCGCTCCGACAGGGATCCTCCCACCTAGAGTCGCCTAGCTGCACAGGGCAGCTCGCGTAGAGAACTGCTCTCTCTGAACGTGACGTGAGCCTGACTCACATGCGGAGAGCGCTTGCTTGGCCGAGATCAGGGCTGCCAGCTGGTGGCTCACCCGCTGTTAACGATGGACCACCCTGTAAGGGGGGTTGCTGTTCGCTGTGCCTAGGTCAGGAGACAACTCACCACTCCGAGGAACCCGCGGTGATACAGCGTCTCCGAAGACCAAAGATTCGGCGGAATGCTTCCATTATCGTTCTGATTCACAAACTGTCGCAAGAATGAGTTATCTAAGTTTGGCTGCATTTGCCGCAGTTACCTTCGTAAGTTTATCTCTGCAGATTTACTGGCAGTTTGATGGGTTTTGTGGCTGATATCTCCCGTAGGTTGTAGCTTTCCTGGTCAAGCAACTTGTCTGGCACCCACTGGCGGCGTACCCAGGTCCGCTGCTGGGAAGATGCACCAATCTTTATGCCGCGTATCACGCATGGAGGGGAACGCTTCATGTTGACATGTACAGATGTCATCAGAAATACGGTAAGTCCCGTCGACCATCGTAACCTTCAAGTACGTCCCGCTAACAGGAACTCGAAGGCCCCGTTGTCCGCTATTCGCCGTCTCGCCTACTTATCAACAGCAGCACGGCTGCCCGGGGTATGTACTGTTTCCAGCCCTCTTCTCACACTGTATTCAACCTGAACTTGGGGTACAGAAATCAGCTCCCATGGCGCAAATGTCATCAAATCAAAGGCCTATCAGGCTCTTGTTCACAGTGCCCCGAACACCTTGACAATTCGCAACAGAGAGGATCATGCACGCAGACGCCGTATCCTGAGTCTTGCATTCTCTGATGCACAATTGCGCGCCTATGAAGCTATCCTCCTCCGTCACATAGAGACACTTTGTCTCAATCTTTCTGACAATGCAAAGTCTCAGGCATCGAGCTCTGGGTCTGAGGCACTGGACATGTCTCACCAGTGTAAGTTTCCACGCCTGCCTGTTAAGATTGTCGGAATCTAACTTTTGAAGGTGACTACTTCACCTTCGATATCATGTCAGAGGTCATCTTTGGTATGAAATACAACGCCCTCAGAGAGCCAAAGTACCGCTTTGTTATGTCAGCCTTGGAGGCATCCAACGTCCGCATCAGTGCCTTGGTCCAAGCTTCGAGTCTTGCGCTTGGAAGGATCGACAAGTATCTATTCGCCGATTCCATCAAGTCCAGGAACAAGTTTCTCGGGTTCCTTGGTTCTCTCCTGAAAAGCAGGGCAAAGGCTTCATTCTCTGACAATGGCAATGTCTTCTCATACCTTGAAACTGCCAAGGACCCGGACGGCGAGTCAACACTCAGCAAGTCTGAGATACGAGCAGAATCAGCCACACTAGTGGTTGCCGGTACGTTTATTTACTGTTGAAAGCCTTTTGGTCCTCATATTGACGCTTGTTCAGGATCGGACACGTCATCGACGACACTGGCAGCTACCTTGTTCTACCTCAGTGGAAATGCCAGGGCATATGCCAGGCTGTGTCATGAGATCAGATCGACCTTTGACAGTGTAGAGGACATTCGGATCGGAGCCAAGCTAAGCTCATGCAACTATCTCAGAGCTTGTATTGACGAGGCGCTGAGAATGTCACCACCTGTAGGAGGTGCGCTTTGGAGAGAAGTCCGGCCAGGAGGTATGACTATTGGGTCTCTTTCCCTTCCAGAAGGCATCGATGTTGGTACTGGGATCTACAGTCTGCATCACCACGACGACTACTTCGATTCTCCATTTGAATATAAGCCTGAAAGATGGGTTGTAGGCGAGGACGGATCGACCAAAGAGTCAGAGTTGGCACGCACAGCATTTTATCCCTTTTCGAGTGGACCTCGCAGCTGCGTCGGAAAGGGATTTGCGTATCATGAAATCACGTTGACTTTGGCGCATATCCTTTACAGGTTCGATTTCACCAGGTCTACGAAAGACCAGAAGTCGTTTGGCGGGTCAACTGGCAACGTGAATGAGTTCCAGATGTGGGATCATGTTACATCCGCCAAGGTTGGACCCTGGCTTCGGCTCCAGTGTAGATAGTTATCATTTAAGCATCTGTCCTGCTTTGCCGCAAATCATTATTTCTCTATCCTTTGCCGCAGATGTCTACTAATTCTAGCTAAGTTCAAGCTGTTGGTGAATTGCATTTTGTGGGCGTGCCTGGTCGCATTGACCAGCCGCTGTGGCTGGTGGCTCTAGTTACTGCGATAGCCCCTGTAAAATCTCACGTCAGCTCTCACATCATCACCTGTGGAGCCCAAGAACACCGCGTTCATTCCCTCGGTAATTGCGAAATGTTTCGTTTGATTGGGTGTTCATGCACGTAAACGGATGAAATAGGTTCTTTCAGCACAGATTTGGGTTCAAGGCTTCCCACAAGCTGCAGGTGGTGAAGCTCAACCAGCTGTAAGGTACTTTCAGCGACGTTGTGTGGTCGCTGCGTGTGCTGCAGTCATGGAGCTTACTTCCGCGTACATCGCGTTGCTCGCGTTGATTCCTCTCGTCTCTGGCCAATGCAAATGTGTAAGAAGTTTACCATACATGCCGTTCATGTACAATCATCCATGCTAATGCGACCGCGACACGCAGACCCCTAATGATATCTGCTGGCCATCTGATAAAGAGTGGGGCCGATTCAACAGCTCCATCGCTGGAAACCTCATCCAGACGGCCCCACCTGCGGCGCCGTGTTATGCCGGACCCAATCGGGATGCCGCCGCATGTGAAGCCGTCACCCAGGGCTGGAGCACGGCGACTTTCCAGGCATCTCAGCCCATCGGCTATGACTATCCTCTCAATTCCTCTTGTCCACTAGCTCGGTTCACTGCCAATGCCCCCTCAGCCAACTGCACCATCGGAAACTCCCCAGTGTTTGCCGTCAATGTCACCGACGAGGAGCATATCTCGAAGGCGGTTGAGTTCGCCAAGAAAAATAACATTCGTATCGTCATAAAGTCTACGGGCCATGACTTCCTTCAAAGGTCAGCTATGTCGAATGAAGTCGAACCCGGCCAAGCTAACGACAGACCAAAGGTCGACCGGCTACGGCAGCCTTTCTATCTGGTTGCAAAACTATCGAAAAGGTTTCAATTTCCATGACGACTTCCAGGTCGTAAACGAGTGTCCCAAGTCGGACTGGAAAGGGAGCGCATTGACTATCACTGGAGCCTACTCGTGGTCCGATATCTACCCCACGGCGTTCGAGAAGAATCTCATCGTCGTCGGCGGAAACAATAGGGTATGTTTGCCGTTGATCTCTTACTGCCATTGCGGTAAAGGTTACTGACGACAACCAAGGGACCTTGTGCCACTGGCGGTTGGACACAAGGAGGCGGACACAGCCCGGTGACTCGTTTCTACGGGCTCGGTGCCGACCAGGTCCTGTCCGCAAGGGTCGTCTTGGCATCTGGAGAGATAGTGACTGCAAGCCCTTGCAATAACACTGATCTCTTCTACGCCATCCGTGGAGGAGGTGGCGGCACCTATGGAGTCGTGACACAGATGACGGTCAAGACCTACCCTACCAAGAACATTGATGCGATCGACGTTGTTATCGGTACTGTATCAACAAGCGCAAATGTCTCGGCCAAGTTCATCGATGCGATGACAGATATCTACTCTTCCTACCCTTATCTGTCGGAGGTTGGCTTCGCCGGCTATGGCGCCTGGGCAATGAATAGCCCAGTGCCCATCGGCGGCAACTTTTCTACATTCTACACCCAGACGTTCACTACGCTGGGCAACGACGCAGGAGAGGCGACCCGGTTGTTCAAGCCCATTGCAGAGAAGATTACTCCTCTGAAAGACGCCGGCTTCACTGTTTCCATCACGCAGAAGGCGTATACAGACTATGGTGCGTACTACGCCAACAAGTCAGGAACAGATGCAACTGTCGGCGGCGTCTCAGCCCTGGCCTCCCGCTTGTTGGGAAGATCGGCCTTGGAGGGCAATCGAGACCAACTTCGCAAAGCTATGGAGACAATGGCTGGAAAAGATGGCAAGGCCGTGTTCCATACCGTCGTCCATCATGGTCTTCAGACGGCGCAAGAAACGCGAGACAAGTCGTCCGCGGTTCAGCCTGGTTGGTATGATGCTGTCATCCTCGATATTTTTGAGAGACCGATTCTCAGTGGCGAGCTTTCTGTGTCATCGAACATCGATCTCTTCGATGACATCCGTCAGAACGTACTCCCAGTCTATCGGGAACTTTCGCCAAATACTGGAACTTACATGAACGAAGCGGATTGGGGCGACACGAATTTCCAGGAGGACTTCTACTCCTCAAATTGGAAGCAATTGATTGAGATCAAAACCAAGTATGATCCATCTGGGGTCTTTTACTGCCAGACTTGTGTCGGTAGTGATGAATGGAAACAAGAAGCAAGCGGCGCATTGTGTCGACGATGCAGCTCTCGAGAAGGCCGCTGTAACGGTCGCAATGATGGGGCCGAAGGCATGTGCGCTTGCTGGTAATGCCAGGGCGCAACAGAACCAACCAGATCACGCGTAAAATTCATATGTACAATAGTTATAACATATTACCTATCTTAGTAGTGTAACACCTGTCTCTAGACAGCTCAATTCTGTACCCAAGTGTATTTGTAAGGTACTGAACAAAAGACGACTGGACAGCCGGTTTCCTCGAAGACTGTGGTTCCAACATCTCCCGTCGCGGTGATGATCCACCTCACTGTGCCCCTGCAGAGGCGGCCGACCGGTTCAAGTCCGAGCCTGCACCCTCAACATCCACTTTGCTGCATCTAATCCCTGGAGAAAATATGGTCTGTCTACCCGTAGCCTCGTGACGGGCAAAGTCACCGCACCATATTGGACGCCGTGTTTTAGCATCTGAATCCTTCACTGGGTGCCGGCAGAGGACCTTGCTACTTGGTGATACGATCGTCATTACTTCATGTCTGCAAGGGACTTCGGTTAGCCAATGTTGCCCATGAGCGGGGTTATTGCAAGGTCTACTCCGACACGATGCAACCTCGCGCGGCATCTTTCGTCACTGCATTGCACAACCTATCGAGACAGAGGCGTTGGTGAAGGTCCACCAGATGAATCCTTCAACGTACCCACTGCCCCTGGTCATCATGTGCTATCTGATCGGGCGAGCGCCAACGCTTGGTATTTGAGAAACAAACTCGAAAGAAATTTGGCCAAAGAAATGTTTCTGATTACACACCTGCTGCCGCATCCTTCATGATGGCAATTTTGAGTGTTGCGAATTTTCTCCTGCTCGGCGTGGCGTACATCGCCTGGAACGTTGTCTATCAGATCGTTTACTACAGGTTTTTCCATCCCTTAGCCAAATTTCCCGGTCCCTTTTGGGGTTCGGTCACCAGATTATGGATCACATATCACAACATCAAGCAAGATGAGTGCCAGACTCTTCAAGCGCTTCACAAAAAACACGGTGAGCTTTGTTGACGGTGTTTTCTGTCGCCATCATTGACTAGGTGCCCAAGGTCCTATCATGCGTATCACACCAACGATGCTGTTGGTGACGGACGCAACAAAACTCCCTGAAATATACCACCGTAATGCCAACAAGTCTCAGCATTACATCACTGGCTCGTTCGGCAAGACAGAATCTCTGTTCAACATGCAAGATCATACGGTCCATGCTCGCTACCGCAAGATTGCAGCTGCACCCTACGCCTTCTCCAACATCAAGAAGATGGAACCGCTGCTTGACCATCATATCGATCGCTGGATAGAAAAGCTGGACAACAACTTTGCCTCGCCTGGAAAACGCTTAGATTTTGCACCGTGGGCAGTTTACCTGGTATACGACATTGTCTCCGACGTTGGGTTTGGCCAGCCTTTCGGCTTCATCGAGCAAGAAAAGGACGTTGAAGGACTCATTCAAGGTTTCCATGACGGACTCGTGCCATTCGGAATTATGGCCCGCTGTTGGCCGTTCACAAATTGGGTGAAGAGCACATTCCTCGGCAAGTACTTGGTGGCGACGCCCGAGCAAGATTCTGGGATTGGTACCTTGATGCGATTTCGAGACCGCCTGATTGCTAAGAGGTTTGAGGATATTGAGAAGGGGGCCACAAACGGCCGGATTGATCTACTTCAAACGTAAGCTTCAGGATGATAACGGTCATCGCAGAATTTGATACTAAATTCTGTCAAGGTTCATTGAGGCTCGAGACGAAAAGGGAGAGCCACTCGACTTAGAGTATATCAAGGCAGAAATTCTGCTGGTCCTTCTTGCCGGCGCAGATACTACTGGAACCGCATTCCAGGCCTTCATGATGCACGTATTGACACACCCGGAGGTCTACGAGCGTCTCATGAAAGAGATTGACACGCAGACACGGGCAGGCAATCTTTCAGATATACCTCAGTATGCCGAAGTTCAAGCTCACTGCCCTTACTACACAGCCTGTGTTCGTGAAACACTACGTCTGAATCCATCAGCACCCAACATCTTCCCTCGAATCGCAGGAGCGGGGATGCAGCTGTTTGGACAGCATGTTCCCGAAGGAACCGAACTAACCTGCAATCCATGGCTCGTGCATCGTGATGAAGCGGTGTTTGGGCCTGATGCAGAAGTCTTCCGACCTGAACGATGGCTGGAAAGCGAAGAGAAGACGAAGGAAATGCTGAAGTACAACATGGGCTTTGGGTACGGTGCGAGAGTATGCCTTGGGCGCGACTTGGCCATGATGGAACTTTCGAAGGCCCCTCTGCAGCTGTTCCGGAGGTTCAAGCCAGAGGCCGTTAACAAAACTTATCCCGGACGATACGTTGTCAAGGGTGGTGTCAGTTTTTACGAGGATATGTGGATCAACATTGAGCGACGGCCAAAGACTCTACAAATATGATGCTGGGAGGGCTTCGCCATTTTCGTTGTAGCTACCGTCAAACGAGCCATGAAGCTCCTAGTCTACTTGTATAATCCATAAGTACCGATCTCGAAATCCAATAGTTCAATTCGAGCTCAGCCTGAGCTTAGTTCAACTCAGTTTGGATGTATTCAAAATCCTATATTCTAGTCAGTTTACCACCTGCATGGAACTAAGGCGCTTGCAACATACCGCAGAGTTCAACGTAGGTAGTCTAGTACCAGTGCTGTAGATCGCAAAATGGCTGCCGACAAAATTCTGCCACCCCTCGACGTAAGATTGTAGCCATCGATTCTCGACACTGGCAAGCCACTGGGGGGCATTACTGCCAGTTGAATACCCAAGACGGTAGCCAGTATTCTTCGCCTCAATGAAGAGCTTGACAGGCGCGCCTGCAGCAACTTCTTCATCCTCGACATAGGTTGTGTTGAGTGTTGCATCGATACCCGTTCTTGTATGAACCACAATTGCTCGCTTGCCGGTCGCATTCGAGTAAGTCAAAGCGATTTCATTGTGGTAGTGAATGCTGAGATAAATGCTGGCCCCGGCTTCTTGTCTCCAGTTCTCGGGACTGAATGCGCTTACCTCCGTGCTGAAGGTAGTGTTGAGATCAACCTGCTTGCGAAGCAATGCTGCGGGAGTCTCTCTGTCATTCAATGTGTAGACGTTCCCTCGGATACGAAGCTTCCCCGGGCTAGACTCAAAGTCTTTGAAGTCTTTGTAAGGCGTTCTCAAGTAGTAGTAAGACTTATCAACAAGCCCGCCATCAAATTCGTCTCGCCAGACTTGAGGCCTGTCCAGGTCATAGAGGACATCGGCTTCGTATTCAGTGATGGGGTTGCCGTTGTTGAAAATGGGCCATCCCTCATCGTCCCAGGTGACCGGACACAGAAAAGTCTCTCTGCCCAGCTGGGGGAGACCACTACTGTTTCGTGGATTCTGTGGGCGGGTTGCAAGAAATACCGCCCACCAATTGCCTTCGGTGTCGTTGACAATATCAGCATGGCCTGTTGCAAGTACCGGTCGGGACATGTCTTCGCCATTCCACAGCACGGGGTTATGTGGGTTTCCATCCCACGGCCCTTCGAGACTGTTTGAGCGATACACGTTTGCTTTATGACTGGCTTCAGTTCCCGAATCGGCCGTGATCATGTAATAGGTTCCGTTCAGTTTGTAAAGGTGGCTTCCCTCCGTCTGCCGAGGTTAGTCTCCAAATCATTATCAATGTCGGTTGTCTCCATCTATCATACGTACCAAAGGGTATCCAAGCTCGGGGGGCACTGTGGTAGTATGAAGCAGTCGAGAGTTGCTCAAAGAGTCGCCAGTCGTGATGTCGATTTCACTGATCCAGTTCCCGAAATTCCCATTTTCGACGAACTCAGAGAATGTAGATGTAAAGTATACTTTGCCGTCGTCGTCAAAGAAGAGATCGCCATCGAATCCCCACTGATCAACGTAAGTAGGGTCACTCCAACTGTTTTCGTCAAAAACGTCGGTCGTGGTAACGTAGAATGAGCGAGGCACTCTAGTCACCTAGAATCGCATCAGTAAAGACGAATTTCTTTGCCACGTAAGGTATACAAACGTTGTCAGGAGGGTTGATAATGTCAAATGCCGTGTCGACGAGATAGAAGACGCCGTCATGGTGTCGAAGGGTGGGAGCAAAAATGCCCCCACTGGGGGCAGTCCCACGGAGATTCAACTGAGACGGGCGATTGAGCGCATGTCCGATATTATCCCATTTGACCCTAGACTTCTTTTAGAATGGTCCTCAAGATGCTGGGGAGGGGGGCTGCTCCATGGGGATCCAGCTTCTGAGCTCACAAGTCTGTTGAGTGATAGATGGGGACACCCGGGAAGAATTCAAAAGTACTTGTTGCGAGGAAGAAGTCACTTCCGACTCTGATGATTGAAGGATCCGGGTTGAAACCTGGGATAATGGGGTTGACCAGACCACTCGCGAGTTCTCCGGGGAAGATCAGCATCAACATGCAAAACTGGTTGCGAGTGGATCACCTGTGAGTTGAAGTAGGCCTAAAGCCAGGAGCGCAGGTGGTTTGAACATGGTATTCATTGAGTCCCGATGGATTGCCTTCCGAAATCACAAGCTCCGTGACACACGATAGCAGCCAACAAATTGTTTCTAATTTATACCGTCCAATACATCTGGGGAAATGACGTTGCTGGTGTGACCCCTCACGGCTAAATGCAAGCTTCCATTTACCCCAGATTTCCGGTTACATCCTAAGCTACAAGAGGACGAAATCTGGGCAAGTGGCCCCATTCGGTCTTCGCGATGATGCTTAGCCGAGGGACCGGCTTGCTATTACCGCAGGGGTTTAACTGGTGTCGCTAAATCAAAGTTCACCATGCAACTGCCCACTCGCGATCCGCACGAGACAAGATCCGCCAATATTCAACTGTGGCACGTTTGCAGTTAGGCCTTTTACCGAGCGAGCCATTATTTTGGTGAACTGTATGAAGCTTGGATCGCAAAGAGTTCATCGTTGATCTGGTCTCAAAATGAGAAAGATCCCTCAAAGAACATAGTACAACTCAGTTTTCTCAGTCAATGATCATGGGCACGCTGACACCGATCATAACACAAGC